CATTTCATATGTATTTATGTCCCTTAATTTTTCTCTCCTTATCTTAATAGAAACTTTAATTTTTCTAAGGTTTAACTTTTTTGTCTTTTTTTTGAGCCAGAATTTCACTATGTTGCTCAGGCTGGCCTCAAACTCCTGGCCTTAAGCAATCCTCCCACCTCAGCCTCCCAAGTAGCTGTGACTAACATGTCTTAATTAGCAAAACAATACGTTTCAAGTTTGAATTTACATAAATTTGAAAAGAATCGCATAAGACTTCAATGCAACATTAACCCCAGAAATAAATGTAGCATTTAAACCACATATTAAAGAATTTAAACTACATATTAAAGGCAACTTCAATGATTTCTCGTTGAATATCCTTTATATATTAGTCAGTAAACACAGAAAGCAGGGCAGTTTGGTTCTTACCCTATTGCATAGAAATCTGAAGACTTGCATGAATCCTGTAGGAACAGGGTATCATCATTTCACTTACCAGGGTGCCACATGGGACCTCAAAGCCAACATTAGCTTTCATTTGCAAGGAATAAGGGAACCATGCTAAATGAGAGTGACTAGAATAAGCCCAGCCCAGTTGCCATCACTTGTCCATGCACACCACAAGCTCTAACCACATGATATTTCCAAACAGTATGCTAAGTATCTGTGGGATGCCTTGGTACCTTTGCACATGCTGTTCCTTCTGCCTGGAAGGACCCTTCTACCCTGAAAAGCATTTTGTCCCCTGTGAAGACCAAGTCCAGTAGCACATCCCCTGTGAAGTCTTCTCGTAGGCCACGTTGCTCTTTTCTTTGTATTCTGTAGTGTTTTGTTCATACTTTGATTAGAACATTTATTGTGTTATATTTGTATTGTCTCCTTCTACTAATCTGAGAGGTCATTTTTTTTTTCTTTTTTTTCTTTTTTTTTGAGATGTCTTGCTCTTGTACCCCAGGCTGGAGTGCGATGGCACGATCTCGGCTCACTGCAACCTCCGTCTCCTGGGTTCAAACGACTCTCCTTCCTCGGCCCCCCGAGTAGCTTGGATTACAGGCGCCTGCCATCATGCCCAGCTAATTTTTGTATTTTTAATAGAGATGGGGTTTCACCATGTTGGTCAGGCTGGTCTAGAACTCCTGACCTCAGGTGATCTACCCGCCTCAGCTTCCCAAAGTGCTGGGATTACAGGCGTGAGCCACCACGCCTGGCCATCTGAGAGGTCTTACCTATGTGCTATGTGTCCTTTCAGTGAGTTCTATCTTTACTACAGAGTAGACATTTAATAGACATTTCTTAAATGAAAGGGAGAGGTTGTGATCAGTTTGAATGTCTGGTATAAACTGTTGATACCCTTCCAGAATTTACTCACAACTGCCTAAGAATAAAACTGTTCAGTATTAGGCTCTAGAGGCGGACTACCTGGTTCAAATACTGGTTTTGCCATTTACCAGCTGTGTGGCCTTGGGAAATTTACTTAACTTCTCTGTGCCTTAGTTTCGTCCCCTTTAAACAAAGATTATAATAGTGTATACCTCATAGGGGTGTTGTGAGGATTAAGTGAATTGATTAAATAAAATCTTTAGAACACTGCTTGGCATAGTAGGCCCTTTATAAACCCCATGTAACCTACTGTTAGTAGGTTCCAGGAACTGGAAATACGCAGATGAATTAGATGTGATTTCCTTTTCTTCATCGTCTTGTGGGAAAGACAGAGGTGGATATAAAAGGAACCTGGCAACACCATGGTAGAGTCTGTACAAGGAAGTGCTTTGTTCCTAAGGCCTGGGGTGGGGGAGTCCAGGAGCACCCCATATGGGAAGTGGTAGTTTAGCTGAGATTTGATGGATGACTGGTAGTTGCTGGGTGGTTTAGGTGGGGACGTGCATTTTAGACAAATATAAGTAAAGATAAAACATATGAAAGACAGGCCGGGGGCGGTGGCTCATGCCTGTAATCCCAGCACTTTGGGAGGTCGAGGCGGGCGGATCACCTGAGGTCGGGAGTTCAAGACTAGACTGGCCAACATGGAGAAACGCCATCTCTACTAAAAATACAACATTAGCTGGGTGTGGTGGTGCATGCCTGTAATCCTAGCTACTCGGGAGGCTGAGGCAGGAGAATCGCTTGAACCCAGGAGGGGGAGGTTGCAGTGAGCCAAGATCAGGCCAATGCACTCCAGCCTGGGTGACAGAGTAAGACTCTGCTAAAAAAATTTAAAAAATAAAAAATTTATATATATATATACACACACACACATACATATATATACACACACATACATGACAACATGAAAGCATGTGGAGCATTTGAGGAGTGGCCTTCGCATAGATCTGAGGTGAAAGGTAGTGGGGAGTGAAGCTGGAGGATGTCACATGTGCTATTAGCTAGTTTATTCAATACCTGTGTTCAACCATCTTCTCTCCTGCCTTCCTCTACCAGAATCAGGGAGGTGAAATGCTAAGTGTTTCCATCCAGGCGAGGCCATACGTGAGGTAACAGGGTATTAGCTGAGAAGAGCTTTTCTCCCAGGAAGAAAATGCAAAGTCCTGCAAGGAGAAGGCTTTTTTGGCCTGTTGCTTTCTTCCTGCCTAGAATTTGGACTTGAGGCTTTAACAGAGGAGGATGAGGCCGTCTGCTAAGGATGGTGCAGTGGGCAGGCCCCGAGAGCTGGGAGCCCTGGGGGCTCACTCAACAGCGGCACTGCCTGGATCACCTCCCTCTGGACGTCTTGTTTGTGAGAAATATCAGAGCCAGTCAGACTTCCCCTTGCTTGGAGCCAAATACATACTTAACTGACATAATGGTAAGCAATGCCCGATCAAAGAAGGCCTTGAATGCTCTGCAGAGGAGCTATGACATTGACATTGACATTTGGACCCTGGGAACTGTTGTACAATTTAGGGGCTGAATGGACAGTTTTGCAGCAACACAAACCTTGGTTCAAATCTCCATGTAGCCAGCTACATACTGTTTAACTTGAGACATCAGTTATCCTCAGCCTGAGCCTTATCAGGTGGACATGAGATGAGGGATATTTTAGATTAATAACTCTAACTGCACCACGTGGGATGGAAGGGAGGCAGCCCAGAGCAGAGGGCTGGGGAGGATTTGCCAGTATTCTGCCAGAATAAAATCAGTCTTAACCAAAGCTTCAGAAATCATTTCAGAACTTAAAGTATATTCTAGTTGATGTTTTTAGCCAAAAAACATTCTGATGGTGCTGGATTTTCCAAACATTCTCTGCCACTTAAAACACCTTTATGACTAAATGTCTTAGGATAGGTTCCACTAAAGTCCTTCAGAAGAGAGAAGCCTTCCCTCTCATACAAAATAAATTCCTGTGGTATCTTTTATTATCCCTAGGAATGCAGGGAAGAGTTCAGAAATAATTGATGAGCACAGCCAGGACTGAATAAACAAATTAAGATTCATTATTCCATTCGAGCGGTGCTATCAGTGTTTTAGAATCTGTTGATAACCAGCGCTAGGAGGAAGTTTCAGTACAAGTCTATTTCCCTCATGTCTACTTCAAAGCTCTAACGAAGCTCTTCTGGGAAACCTGGGAGAGGGTTAATTAAGCCCAGGAAGGGAGTGGTATGATTTAATAGATAATAAAAAATATTTGCTCTCATATGTCTAATTATGTTTTCTTGTCAAGGATGCTTGAAAGCTCTAAGTCAGAGATGATCTACTCTGAAAAATAAAGGAAGATATCCTCTCCAAAGCAAGTTCCTTCAGCGGGAGCATGTTTCCATCAATAATAGGCTGAGGAGGGTAATCTGAGGCTCAAGTGGAGGATAACTATCTCTCAAAATTATAAAACTATTAACTGGCCAAGTTGGGATTAGAATCCAGGTTTCTATGACTGTAAAACTGTACTTTTAACCTACATTATACTCCATCCACTCTCATGACCTAGGCCTCTCTGGCCCTCAACTACATGGTTTGGGGGTTATAGCTTCAAACTCAGGTCTGGCAGGGAGGCAGCCAAATGGGTGGTGATGACTTTCTTTTTTCTTTCTTCTTTCTTTTTCAGAGACAGGGTCTCGCTCTGTCACCCAGCTTGGAGTGCAGTGGCATGATCCCAGCTCACTACAACCTCTGCCTGTCAGGCTCAAGAAATCCTCCCACATCAGCCTCTCCAGTAGCTGGGACCACAGGCACACACCGCCATGCTCAGCTAATTTTGTTTTGTTCTGTTTTGTTTTGGTAGAGACAGAGTTTTGCCATGTTGCCCAGGCTGGTCTTGAACTTCTGGAGTCAAGTGATTCACCTGCCCTAGCCTTCCTAAGTGCTGGTATTATAAGTGCGACCTACCTTGCCTGGCCAAATAAGTGGTGACGACTTTCTGCGTGTCCTTTAGGAGATAACTTTGAGGACCCTCTAAACCCCTGGCAAAGGCGACACTTTTAGGAGTGACGAAGGGCCTTTGTAGACAACACAGACTATTCAATACTCTAGCAAGCTGCCCAGCCCCGTGCAAACCATGAAGATGGGATAAACCATTAGGCTTCATTATCTATTTAAATCAAACAATATTTAACCCAACCAGGGATATTCTAGGGCTTACTGATTCAACTATCCCAGGAACCTGGTAGTTTTAGAATCTCTGGAACTGGTCTAGAAGGCTACATGTGAGATTTGACACCCTTGCTCAAAGATCACGTGCATGGGAAGAGCTGTGGAGAAACTGGAAGGCTCTGATCACAACTCTTCTCTTCCTTCTCCCACACGAAGGGCAGAGGGAAAGGCCATCCTTCTTATGGCATGGGTTCTGAATCAGAAGAGGCTACTGCGTGCAGTGCAATGAAAAGTGTGTTAGTTCTGTCTGGAGGGACTTGATCAAGATCCCTGAGTTGCAACCACTGGAGAACATGGCTCCCTTCTAAGACCATGACAGCCACAGATTGAGCAGCAGAGCCCAGGGCTCCATGAATGGAGGGAAGGAGGAGGGCTGCTTCACAGTCAGCCCTTTCACTTTGTTACTTGGGCTTCTTTTCAGGGCCCACAGCACTCACCTCAGCCTGCCAGATGGGGTTCACGGTGTTGCCTATGATCTTGGATCTCCTCTCCTGTCCATGGTGAGGGAGGGCGGGGAAGATGCTGTGCTTCCCAGGCTGAATGGAAATCTTCAGATAAGGGTCTGGGTTGAAAAACATCCCTTTCTTCAACCCCATGGCTTGGAAATCTATAAAATAAAGGATACTTTAATTTAAGTATGTTTTAGGGAGGTTAACAACTGGCACTTGGTAACTACACCTTTCATGAGAGGACCGTTGGCCCTATGAACTAGATCTCTAGTGTTACTCAGGCAGGTAAATGGGCTGGGGTGAAGGAGTGAGGGTCACCCCAGGAAACGTGGGTAGCCCAGGGAGACAAAGTTCAACTTTGGAAATTTGATGGGTCTGGGTGTAAAATTCCTCTGCAAGGTGAAGACATTAAAAAAATAAGGGTTGGAGTCTCACGATACATGTGGGCCTCATTGAGTAAGGTGAGAGAATTGGCAGAAATAAAGAGAGAGAAGAGGATGAAAAGAGCACAGAGCGTGGACAATGGAGGAAAGAACAAACAAGACCTGGCCTCCATGGGGCTGAGTGCAGTCAATGAGGAGAGTTCTGAGAAACCCTGCTGCCAGGGAGGGCAGGGCTTTGAAAACTGAGCTGTTCTGTTTAATTGAAGATATCTGACCATGTACAATTTCATGCTGCACAAGGAGAGAGAGACAGAAAGAGTGTGTGTGCACAAGATCATTTATGGCAGTGGTTTATAGTTGGATAATTTGAAATCACATTATATTTATTAGAAATATATTTATGATGTCAAGGAATATAAGTTTTTTTTTTTTTTTTGAGATGGAGTCACCCAGGCTGAAGTATAGTGGTGGGATCTTGGCTCACCGCAAACTCTGCCTCCCGGGTTCAAGCATTTCTTCCTGCCTCAGCCTCTCGAGTAGCTGGGATTACAAGTGCCTACCACCATGCCTCATGCCTGGTGAATTTTTGTATTTTTGGTAGAGACGCGTTTTTACCATGTTGGCCAGGCTGGTCTTGAACTCCTGACCTCAGGTGATCCACCTGCCTCAGCCTCCCAAAGTGCTGGGATTACAGGTGTGAGCCACCGCGCCCAGCCAAGGAATGTAATTTTTAAAGCTTTTTCTATTGTTGAAGTATTTTTCAAACAAAATTATTTACATTTATACACAAGTGTAACAAATGGAGGTAAAGATACACAGGATCAGGGATTCCCAGTCAAGGTATAAGTTGTGAGGGGTTTCAATAATTTGTTACTGATGAAAAAGCACAGATGTTTTCATATGCATTTATTTAAAAGTTATTTTGAGTTGATCCAAGGTTATCCGCTTAATAAAATTATTCCTACTCTCTGGCATGATAATATATTACTGCTCTGTGAAAGGGCCGTATAGTCAAAATGGCCCCCAAATGCCAAAGGAGTTGAGAAACCAAAGAAGGAGGCAGACAAATCCAGTTTGTCGGTAAAAGGAGTTTTATTAGGGAACTCACAGACAAGCATGGTCTTGGGCTGCAGGAGACTGGTAGATCTCTGCATTGTTACTCGCCAGACCCAGGGCTTATGTACCATAGGGAAGGGGTACATAAGCCACTGCTCTGTGCAAGACAATGAAAGGCAGCCCTCCAGAACAGGCAGGAATGCTGCCTGCATCACAGCCTGTTGTTTCTGCCATAACATCAAAGTTGACATGTTCTTACACTAGAGACAGTGGATAAAGTAGGAAGAGGAGGCATTCACAGGACTGGGGGTGATCAGAAGTCAACACAGTGGATTCACATCCACAGTGGAGTCACTTTCACCCCCACACTTGCCAATGAAAGAAAGAAGGCAGGAAGTACAAGCATCACAGAAATTTGCAAAACCCAGGCCACATCTGCAGGAATATGTGTAGACAGAAGTTAACATAGCAGCCTGAGACTACTCAACTGTTTATTTGGTTGGCTCTTGGCTAATGTCTAGAAACTTGGATTTCAAGAGGGCTCCTACCTTCCCAGAACTGGTAAGAGTGGCTCACTGTGCCTAAAGTGTTTGTGTAAATGATGTGGCTTATGGTGAACACTGCTTTCCTTCTGGGAGGCTGGAAGTTTGGTGTGGGCTAAGCAGAAGATGCACACATGACCAGTACCGCCCCCACTGTCCCCCAACACCTCACTGAGTAGAAACCCTGTCTCTTGTCTCTAAGAAGCTTCCCTGGTAGATAGCATTTCCACATGTTGTCACAGTTCATCCTGGGGGAATGAAGCATGTCTGTGTAACTCCACCGGGAGAGGCCCATTGGAAATTGTTCCTGGCTTCCTCTAGACTTTGCCCTAAGCACCTTTACCCTTAGCTGATTTTGCTAAGTATCCTTTCACTGTAATAACTCATACCAAGAGTATAACTAGATGCTGAGTCTTGTGAGTCCTCCTAGCAAATTGTTGAACCTAGGGGTGGTCTTGGAGACCCTGACTTATTAGAGTGTGAAAGACATATATATATACACATATATGTGTTACATATATACATATATGTGTTACATATATATGTTACATATATATATAAAATTCATCATAAAATAGTGACTACCATTGCCTCCACCACCACCTACCGTTTATTTGCTATCTACTAAATTCTGGGAACCATTCTAAGCACTTAAAATACATTTTCTGATTTAATCCTGACCACAAACTCCACAAGGTAGAGATTATATCCTTAATACAAGGAAGAGAAAATGAAGGCTTACAGATTGTCAGGGCTGGTCGACATCAGAGATAAGATTTGAACCTGCCTCTTTGATTCCGAAGTCTGTGCTTTTGTTTGTCTGTTTGTTTTGAGACGGAGTTTCACTCTTGTAGCCCAGGCTGGAGTGCAATGGTGTAATCTTGGCTCACTGCAACCTCTGCCTCCTGGGTTCAAGCAATTCTCCCGCCTCAACCCACTGAGTAGCTGGGAGTACAGTTGCTCGCCACCACCCTTGGCTAATTTTTTGTATTTTTAGTAGGAATAGGGTTTCATCATGTTGGCCAGCTGGTCTTGAACTCTTGACCTAGGGTGCTCCCCCTTGGACTCCCAAAGTGCTGGGATTACAGGTGTGAGCCACCGTGCCCAGCACAAAGTCTGTGCTTTTAATCAATCTGTTATATTGTCTTTTTATAAAAATGTCAACTTTGGCATTGGTTAAATTCTCAACTATAAATGAGTCTTTTTCGATACACTTTGTTCTGTTCTATCAAACAACTTGTCCATATCTGTACCAACATGTCTTTATCAAATGTTTGATAGCTGCTAAATTAAGTCACTCTTATTGTTCTTATTTTTTTAAAAAAGAAAACACCTTTCTTTATCACTCAGCCACTTATTGTTCCAGATGAATCTTATTAAATTTTAATAACTCCCTTCAAAACACTTAGATTTTTATTAGAACTGCAATGAATTTATACATTAGCTTTGGGATAATTAGTAGCTTTAGAAAACAGAGACTTCCACTCAAGGGCACAGGTTTCTTCATTTGTACAGGTCTTCTTTCCTGTCCTTCAGCAAATGTTTACACTTTCCTTTATAAAGACTTATGTATTTAAATTCAGTCTGAATACTCAATGAGATATATGTTTCATGGAATAAAAGTATTTGAAAACTGCTGCAATAAGAGGTATAATTTTAAAGGCACTGGACTGCTAGTCATTTGGGAACACTCACTATTGAACTTTGTAACTTTGAGTAAACCAATTTAACTCTTTCAGGTCTTAATGTTTTCCACTATGAGACTGTTGGGAGAAATGTCCATAAGAGCATGTAGAGTCCTAGAATTTTCCAGAAGTAAATGCTACGTTAAAGGAGAATAGTTAATCTCCTCTCATTTTTGCCTGTATTTTTTGGTTCTGGTGATAAACATATGTACATTTATTATAATACTTAAAAATAGAGAATAAAAAATAGGATTTTAAAGTTATTTCAAATAACTAATGGAAATAATTATTTATTTAAAGTAAGTACCCCCTCCCCACCAGTGGCAACCTTTGCCAAACCTTATTTCCTCCTAGTATTTTTCTTTGCACGGTTGAGAACATATTGCATATTCATTATTGCATCCAAGATTTTTCTTTTGACTTGCATTATATGTGTAAGACACCAGAATATATCACCCCATTATATGTGAGAGCCCGGGAAACAACATCCCAAAATCTGTGACTTTGGTATAAGGATTATTTAGAGCTGAAGACAACTGAGAAGAAGTAGATAAAAGAAAAGCTCTTTGCCCTCTTGCTATTTTCCCAAAAGCAGGGCATAAATTTACAAAGGTGTCCCTCTTCTGCTTTCTACCAGGGGGATCAAACGTTGATCACCAGAGATGACTTCAGACTAGTACCAACCAGGAGACAGCACCAGATGAATCTGCATAATAAACTGTACTAAACAGCATCTATCTACCATACCATAGCCTTCCCAGAACTTGCTGCCCTTGAAGACTCAAAGTCCTTTTCCTTTGCCCTGTCACTTCACTAAAAATTGAACCGTTCTTTGTTGAAGACATTATATAAGCTGAAATTCTAAACCATATCTTTGAGATTTACTCATTTTCCCTGGGTATCTCCTATGTATACATAAGATATACATGTTAATAACTTGTTTGTTTTTCTCTTATTAATCTATCTTCTGTTACGGGGGTCCTCAGCCAAGAACTTAAGAAAACTAGAGGAAAAATTATTTCCCACACCAACAACATCATAAGGATGTTCCCATGCCTTTTAGAACATTTTGTATACACAATTCTTAAGGGTATACAGTATTTAATAAATTGACTCTATGGTAATTTATTTAACCAAGCCCTAATTTTGAATATTTAAGTTGTCTCCAATATATTTGTAAATAGATCTTTGTTTGCATTTCTGATTTTTTCAGTTAGAATGCTAAAAGTGCACTTCATTGAAAATTAAAGTGATAATATTTACCTAGAAAATGTGTTACCTCCAGGAAGTGGTAAAAACAGGAAATATAAAAAGACTTGCCAATTAAAGCATTTGCATGAGCAATCTTGCTTTGATATGTTCATTGTACTCTTGGAGCTTTCTAAGATGGCAATTCCATCATCTACTTTCTGGTTATTTCTCCTTTCAAACCCTAAAAAGAAAATCAGTCTTTTTATATTGCAATGTCTCCAATTCTCAAGTTTTCTTGGAT